AAAACTACGTTGAGAGATTTAATGAGATTGAGAATAGATTTCGGGAAACAAATTTGAATTAATATTGAGATAGTATTTTTAGATTCCCTCAATTCACGCTCAACTTCTCTCCCTCGTTCAACCTCGCTCTCTCTTTATTTAGGGAGAATGAGAAAAAAAAATTTGTTGAAAAGAGGAAAAGAGAATAATGAAAAACGACGAGGAGGGAAAAAAAATCTGGAAAAAGAGGGAGATGGAGGCAGAGAGGAAAAGATGGAGTTTGGAAGAGAAAAACAAGCAAGAGGGGTGTGGGAGGTTATTTGACAAAGTTGGTGATGTCACCAGTAATTAGAAAACTTAGAAACCCTTAACACTCTGGTGAGTATAAAGTTCGTAAGATTTTTACAACATGTAAACATAGAGATTCAAACTCACCATTTTTTAATCAGAAAATAAATGGATAATTGAATTGTGTTCGAGAGCAAAGACCAAATTTGAAAGTTGATCAGTAAAAACAAAAACAACTACGAATGAATGTTTGAATTTGAGTTTAGAATTTAAACTTAGTTTAGGTTAATATAGGAGAGTAAATAAAAATTCAGAAATTAAATAAAAACCACGGAAAATTGCCCGGGCAGCGGCCGGTGTTCACGTTCACTTGCCGCCATTTCCACTCGCCATCAACGATTCAACATCAAATTGAGAAGTTGCAGGAAAGAAATTTGTTTTTCCCGCCTCCGCCATAGCCAGAGCCAGAGAGAGCTTGGATTGCAGGAAGCTATGTTGAAGGCAAAGAGTCTGAGGAAGGCGGTGGTGCCGCCCTCTCTCATCGACAATCCTTCTCCCGGGAATCTCCAGCCCACTCGCCTCGCCCTCCATGTACGATCTACATCTCCATTTTCCCCAACCCTAATATCTCTTTCAATCCCTCTCTCTCTCTCTCTCTCTCCAGGTTACTCCGGATGCTTCTTCCTGCTCGGTCTTCATCGCTTCCGCTTCCCGCGTTTTCAAACTCCAGGTATGCCACTGCCTCCTCTGCTTTCCACCGTATTGGCGCTGCGAAATGCCAAATCTCATGTCTATTTTCCTTTAGATTTCCATGGAAGAATCATCAGTCATCGAAGGAAAAGATAGCCTACTTATTCCCGTCCAGACAAAGGTATATTAGTTTAATATATCATGAGGAGAAGAATTTCTAATGCCGCCATAATCCATCTGCCCATGCTTCTTGAAGGTTATACACTCTTCATTACTCAATCGCTGTCCTCATCGCTCAGAAATCCAGAGCTTGGTCCTGGCTGAAGTTGATAGTTAAGTCTACTTATTCTTCCTGACTCTGTCCGTGCATGTATGTAATGCCATACATGAAATATCTATATTTATAACCATGTAAGAAGCGAAGAATCAATGACACATCATTTAAGAGTTGGACACAGACACACTACTTAAACTAACGTTTCCAAGATTCATATATTGCTATTTTTTTTTAATTGTTATGGTGCATTTATTCAGGTTATAATGACCTACTACTAGGGACGGTTGATTCCTATGGTCACCTCATTGTTTCTAAACTTGATGCCACTGGTCAAGGTACATTATCTTTACGCTGCTGTCATGATACCAATGATTTATCTCAAGTTCCATCATGAAACATTTGGAACTTTCTTTAATATTAGTCTACAAAGCTGCATGTTGTTTGTACATGATAAAAATATATGTCCCGCAAACATTGATATGGTGCATATTAGTATTAATGTTTCTCTTTCTGCTCTTAATTCAAATTTGTTTTGTAATTCTCCTTTACTTTTGATTATTAAAGAAGAGGTTCTTCTTCTTCTTCTTCTTCTTCTTCTTCTTTTGGTAAGTTTTTTGTAATGCCCACTTTTAGCTTGGCTTATTATGGACCTCCTTTCTATAATTTCATTTGTCTTGATGAAAAATGGTTTGTCATGGGAAAAAAAATCTAGTTAAAAAAGCTAAAAGGGTAAGTGGTTGACATCCATCCCAAAAAGATCACAAAATATTTTCTCAATGCATCGCATCTGCAAGTTATAATCCCAAATATAAGAAAAGCTTAAAAGGTGCGACATAGTTGAGTGATAAGGTTTCTTACTTCCAGACTTACTTTTAATTCTCTCAAGAGCACTGGTTAATGGTTGATTGCAATGCAAGGTTTAGATGGAAGACAACGTTATTTAAAAACATCTAGAGTCTGCTAGATATTATTTTACTATATAAACTTGATTATTGCATCTTCTTCCATTTTTTTTCTTTCTTATACCTGTTCACTTTACATTCCTGATATATTGTTCACATATACTTCTCTTATAATTTGGTTTTCCTGCTTTGTCTCTGTTTCTG